TCATATTTGGCATTTCTATTATAATTGATAAAGAAACTCTGGAATAAAAATGATATAGCATGAAGCCATTAAAATGAATGAAATAGATGCATATTACTGACATAAAGAACCTTCTAGGATGGCAATACATGATAAAGACTCAAACAAGGCAGCAGGAAAAAAAATCTATAGTATTAAGTTGTCTTTTTAAATTTAGTATATTTAGTATATATATGAAGGAAAATCTGGAGTAATGTATAAAAGGCTATTACCAGTGATTTAACATATGGCAGAGTTTCAGTTTCTACAGTACAAATGTCTGGATGATTGATTGAATTTTTACTATGAACACATATGAACATTATCTTTTTAAGATTTTTTATTATTTATTTATTTGAGAGAGAGGGAGGGAGGGAGGGAGAGGGAGAAGCAGACTCCCCGCTGAGCAGGGCTCCATCCCAGGACCCATGAGATCATGAGACCATGACCTGAGCCGAAACCAAGAGTCAGGTGCTTAACCCACTGAGCCAACCAGGCACCCCAACAAGCTGAACATTTCAATGAAGTTTATATGGCATATATAATAGCATGGAAATGAAAGTATAACATAATGTTAATTCAAGGAAGCAGAAATAAGTATCTTACATACAATATGACCAAAATTAAAGTATGCATAGAAAACGGATTGAAAACAAAATTGCTTTAAAAAGCTAATTGATATCCTTTTTAGGAAGTAGTACTGAATATTTTTTCCTTTTTCCTGTGGTTCTATGTCTTTCAAATTCTATAAGTTTTCCTACTTTTGTTTTGCCTGCTTATTACAAAAATTTCCAAACACACAAAAAGTATAATAAAATGCCAGGTACCTATTAGCCAGCTTCAATGACCATCAAAATTTAGGTATATATGTGTTATCTTCCCCACGTGGTTTTCTTTTTTTATTATTTTCTGGACTATTTTAAAGCAAATTTCAGACATCGTGTCATCATATTCTATGGACTTAAGAAAGGTTTATTCTTACATAATCACAATACCGTTATTTCCTTTATACAGAAAGAAATAAAAATTCCTTTAATATCATCTAATAATTAGCCCATACTGAAAAATCTCTGATCGTCTGAAACGTCTTTATACAGTTTGTTCTGAGTCAAAATCCAAACAGTTCC